GTAACAGTTGATGTTACAGTCTTGAGTGTAGATTCTGCCAAGCAGTAGGATTGAAAACTCAGGTAGGGTCTATATGTTGCATTACCAAGGATAATTTCTTCTTCTAGAAAAATCTCAGTTTTTTGTTCCTAAGATCTTCAACTGATGGTATGAGGTTCACCCAAAATATGGAAGATGATTTGCTTTACTAAAAGTCGACTGATTTTAATGGTAATCATACCTAAAAAATACGTTTCTCAAAAATTGCATAACCTTTGTGCCCCACCTTCCTTATTCTCCCGACTTCACCCCAAACAACTTCTTTTTTGTTTCCCGGGATTTAAAAGTCCCTCAAAGGGAAATGTTTTGCCAATGTGGAAGAAGTGAAACAAAAAATGGCAGAAACACTAAAAAGCATAAAAATTGGAGTTCAAAAACTGTTTTGAGCACTGAAAAAAGTGTCTCAATAGGTGTATTAAATGAAGAATATTTTGAAGGTGACTAAAGTTTACACATGTAAGAATAAATACACAATTTTTAAATAAATAAATTCCAGGTTTTGGGGGTCCCCCTCTTATAATCAAATGTTTTTGAACAAAGGTGCACAAGAAATTCAATGGAGGAAGAATAGCCTTTTCTGCAAATAGCACTGGAGCCTTTGTACTTTTTTTTGTGGTTAATTTTGTGTGTCAACTTGGCTAGGCTAGGCTACAGTGTCCAGATTTTGAACTCATCAATCTTGATGCCTTTTAGTGATTCTGCCATTTTTTGTTTCACCTCTTACACATTGTAAAACTTTTCCCTTTGAGGAACTTTTAAATCTGGGGAAACAAAAAAAAAATGTTGCTTGGGTGAAGTCGGGTGAATAAGGAAGGTAGGGCACAGAGGTCATGCAATTTTTGGTCAAATATGACTGAACACTCAACATGGTGTGGGCAGGTGCATTGTCATGGTGGAAGAACCACCTGTTTGCCATAATTTGAGATGTTTCTTCTACAAATCGTGATCCAACCTTCTCAGAACTTCTGGGTAAAAACTTTGATTGACCATTTGATCCCGAGGAATAAATTCCAAGTGCAGGGGACCACCTTTGAAAACATAATTCAGTTTCTTTTTGGTGGGGGGTTCATGCTCATCTTTGCCTGAGTCTACTTCTAGGGTTTTCTATTCTGCTCTGTGTATTTTGTGTCCCTATGCAGATATCAAACTGTTGATTACTGTAGCTATATAAGAAACTTTAATATGGGGTAAGGTGATTCCTCCCATTTTATTCATTTATGTCAAGGTTATTTTTAGCTATTGTTTGGCCTGTGCCTCACCATATAAATCTTAGAATAAGCTTTTCTTTGTTTACATGCAACCTTAGTGGAATTTTGATAGAAATTGCATTAAACCTAGAAGAATTTGTAGATAATTGACATTTTTATTGTGAGATTTTCAATCTATGACTATGGTATATTTCTCTATTTATCATATCTTTTGACTACTTTTATAATCATTTTGTATTTTTCACAAAACCAGTCCTGCACATGATTTACTAAATGTGCACATATATATTTTATATTTTTTATTATACTGTTTTTAACTATTGATTTCCGCATATTCATTGTTAGCATATAAAGATGCAATTAATTTTTGTGTGTGGATCTTGTCTCCTGGCACCTTGCTGGGTTAACTTAATAGTTCTAGGTATTTTTCTGTACTTTTAATTTAAATTTTCCTGTGACATTAAATTTGAAGTGAGTTTCTATAAGCCTCATATGTAGTTTAGTCATTCTTTTAACACGCTGTGCCAATCACTGTCTTTCAGTTGGTATATTTAGACTATTTACATTTAAAGTAATTATTGATAATGTTATTACCAAAGTCTGCCATTTTATTATTTGTTTCCTCGGGTTTTTAAATCTTATTTTTCTCTCTCTCTTTTTTTTTTTTTTTGCCTTCCAGTGGGTGATTTAAACATTATTTAGGATTATATCTGGATCTATTTATAGTGTTTCTATGTCTGTCATCTCTTTGTGTATTTTTTATAGTGGCTGCTGTGGGTTTTGTGTTTTCTCTCTCCCTCTCTCTCTCTTGCTCTCTCTCTCATAGTCTAGTAGTATTAACATTTTGTTACTTTAAGTGAAATGTAGAGACCTCATTTTCATTTTAGTTCTTGTTACTTTCCATTTTAAGTATTATTGATGGTGTTTTAATTTTTTATTCAATCATTAAATATTATTTTTAAAACTTATGACAAAAAGATAATCTATTTTATTTACTTATGTTTCCACTCTTTCATGGTTTCTTTTTCCTTTGTGATGTTCCAAGATTTTTGATAAACATTTTTTTGCTAATTCAAGTTCATTGATTCTATCCTGTCATTTCCAATCTACTGAGTCCCTCAGTCTGTAATTTTTTTTAAAACTTAAGTTTCTATATTTTCACATCCTTTAATTCTTATTTAGTTTTTTTAATACCTTATGTTTCTTTGCTAAGTTTTTTATTCATTTATTCAAGAGAATGTGTAATTGATATTGGAGCATTTTTATGATGACTGCTTTATAATTCATGTCATATAATTTTGACATTTTGATATCAGTTGATAGCATTTCTCATTCACGTTGTGATTTCCTTAGCTCTTGGAATGACTTCATTTGTATCCAGGAATTGAAGTTATTACGTTAGGAGACTCTGGGACAGATATAAAACTACTATTCTTGTAGGAAGTCAACTTGTTCAGGTCTTGGCCTTCTTTTGTGGGCCATGATTACAAAGGTAATTTAATTTTCAGATCTTTTGCAGTCTTATTTTGGTTTACCTGGTCTATCTGTTGCTTCTGGGGCTCCCTGTGGTTGTTGCTGGTGCTTCCTAGGAGGAAGCCCCAGGTCTGTTCCCCAGGACAGGCAATAACACATCTCTCTGTGAGACAAGACTGTGGTGGAATTCCCCATCTGATTCTTCCCAAAACTCTCTCACTCCAACCATTGCCCTTATGTCTTTGGGGGAAAAGAAAGAAAAGAGTCTCAGATATGCAAGTTCAAACAGACCTCCAGTTCTAGTCTATTTGTTGTGTCTGCATCTCTCCTTCTGGTTCCACTCATCTATCCTGTCATGTGTTTACATGGTAGTTACCCTCAGATAATTAATCTTTAGGTAAGCCTCTTAAAGAATATGCAAATAAGACTTGGAAAAGATAATGCAGTTCTCTATTTTGTCTATTTACAAGTTGTGAACAATATTTTAGCAATATTTATTACTAATAGCCTCCACACCTCTTTTTAACAATATTACTTTTAAATAATTTTTATACATAAAACATTTAATGTTCTGAAGTATGTAATAAAGTAATTTTGCTTACACTATTAGTGGATAACTTTTTAGACAAAAGCTGAAGATATCAGATGCATGATAATTTTGGTTGAGTAAGATGTTACGTGATCAAACATTTTTCTTTGTATAGACTGTTTTTGCAATAAATTTTTTGAATTGTATCCATTACTTCAGTAGAAAAGCTAAATTTATATTGGTTTTTACTTTTTATAATAGACTGATTTTGTTTCTGATTGTAAATAAGTAATTAAATTAATATTATATGAATATTTTCTGTTATAACACATATCAAGGTTATAATTTATGTAATATATCAGAATAAAAAATTATAGTCTGCTGTATTATTAATACAGCAGACTATAATTATTCAATAATATTAGAAACTTCTACTATGAATTGACAATATGTTTGATATCATTTTGTTATTTTAATTTACTTAAGTCTAAGAGATACTAGCAAAATTAAATTATCATACATTTTTTGAGAAAAAGTTTCTGGGTATGCTTGTTAAATACCAATTTACTTCTGTATAGTAACATTTTGATAATAGCACATAAATAAAAAGAGTATCTGTCATTTCTTACTCATTATGAAACATAGGAATACAAATATGATCTGAATCCTCCCTTCCACTTGAGCTGTACATGATATTAGCTCAAACTTTCATTCTAGTGTTCTGACTTTCCTGTTTTTGCATATTCTGTTGTCATTATGACCTAAAGACAAAACACACCCCAAATATAAAATTCTTTGACTTTTCAAAACATTTTAGTGAATTTTTTTTTGATAATTGGAAAAGGTCACATGAATTTATCTCATAAGTTAAAACAGTTTTTTTGAGTGTAGTGGCATGTTCATAAATCACTGTAACCTTGAGCTCCTGGGCTCAAGGAATCCTTTCACCTAAGCTTCCCAAGGAAATAAGACTTCCCAAGGAAATAGGTGCATATCACAAGATCTGGTTAATTTCTACATTTTTTTTTTTGTAGAGAAGGGAGCTCACTATATTGCCCAGGTTGTCTCCAACTCCTGGCCTCAAGCAATCCTCTTGTCTTGACCTCCCAAAGTGCAGAGATTACAGATGTGAGCCACTGTGCCTGGCCTGAAAAATTTCTTTCATAGACGGCCTTTTTTCCATTTCACCACTGGGAGTCTCTCATTGTTCTATGACCTCATATAATTGTCTCTTATTCCTTCTTGTCTCTGCATTTTGTCATATGAAACAGTAAACTATCTTTCTGCTGCCCATGCTTATGATTTTAAGACCTCACCCTTCCACCTGATAGTTGATTACCCTGGCTACTCATGATAATAGCCTAGACACTGTTCCAGAGTTTTGATATAATGATCTTAGGGGAAACTCAAGCTTGGGTATTTTAAAAAATGCTCTTAAGGTAGTTCTTGAATTCAAACGGCTATGTTTTTCAAGCTATTTATCTTTCTATGGAGACTTCTTATGTCAGATGATAAGAAAGTAACACTTCTAGCTCCTTGCATATGATTACATCTTTACAATCTGAAAGTATATAGTTTATTTCATGTTTATTACAGTATAGTCACAATTATTTTTTACACTATATACTCATGGGTTTTTCTGCAAATTTTGGGTAATATGAATTTAGGATTTTCTTGACAATTTTTAGATGTGTTATTCATGCACACAATCTGTTTAACTGACTCTATTTTTCACTTCCTTTTGTTTTTAGTATTGTGACAAAACGCAATGTAAACATGTTCGATTTCTGCGCAAAGCTCATATTTGTGACAATCATAAACATTGTGAAAATCATGGAGTAAGTAATGGCAGTGTTCATTTTAAGCACCATGTTTTTATCAATTTAATAAGCAGTTTGAGAATTTAAAAATTATGAATAATTTTTTGGCCATTTTTATGCTATTGGTTTCATTTAACTACCTATAATGTATAACTTTAACTTTGTCTTCTTAAGAAACTTGTTAAACTATTAATTAGAGAAGATAAATAAGATGATTCTGGATATATAAAATGTTTCATAAGTCTGTAAGGTAGAAATGCTGTAAGCACCAGAAGTGTTGTGTCTAGCATAAATAATCTTATTTTTACAGAGAAAAGGTAGAGATTGTTGAATAAAAGTCATTAGAATTGTCTTCTAGTCTTAATAGTTAATTTAGAGTTGGGGCTGTTCTTCAAAGCTAGCAACTAGATAATAATTAATTGCATATTACTGGGCCTGGCTGTGGGATAGTTGGACAATTTTCTTTTTTTTATGAAATGGATTTGTCAACAGAAGCTAGGTGTACTTTCTAAAGTGTGGTCATCTGTAAGGGATAATTTGATGAATTTATCTATTTACGATACATTCTCTAGAACCATACTCTGTGAAATAAGTATAGACTATTCATTGGTCTCCATCAGAAACTGTCTTCATAAAAATTATTCTTTTTTTATCATTTTAGATTTGCAATAACTTTTTTCATTGCCACTGTGAGAAGGGGTTTGCTCCTCCTAACTGCACAGCAAGGAAAGGAGATTTTGGAAGTCCCGATGATGGACACGTGTTCATAACTGGTTAGAGTTCTCAAAATCTTATAATTAATTATAATATGAAGAGGATAAATGATAAGTTTCAAAATAGATTACATAGCTACTAATGTCAACAAACATGATTTTATTAGTTTGTAAGACTTAAAAAAATATGACAGTGGAAGTTTGTACTGTTCCTTCTATATCAGCACTGACATTGTTTACTGAACAAAAGTGCACCCAATGTTAGACAATTTTTATAGTAGAAATTTTAATGCACATGATTTGACCAGTTAATTTAAACTGTTCTCTTTGGATTGTCTCAAATATTCCTAGTTTATAATACTGTCAGTAGTCATTGTTATGTTAATAACCCTGGAATCTTTTAGCTTGTCTTTTCTTCTTATAATTTGATTCTCTTTCTCCTGCATTGTAAGGGTTTTACACTAATCTTTTGTAATTTCTTCTTTCTAATCTTATCCTGGGATTCCTGAGTATTATTTTGAGCATAATCAGCATTGATTAGACTGGGGACAACTGGAAGGGGAGGGTGTCCCCTGCTACATGAAGGCATACTGGGATGGCCAACATTTTAGAGAGACAATACATAGACATATCAAGCTGTGCATTAGGCACAAAAAAAAGCATAATAATTAAACATACATATTTTTATATACAAATAGATTATTATTTTCACATAATAATGAGAAAAATAGATGTTTATTTGAATTATGTATTTCCAATTAAATATACTCTGTACAGCATATACTGTAAAGCAAAACAACAATAGGACAAGTTGACAGTGTCAATTGGTAATAGTATATAGTATTGAAAGGTATTGTCCAGGCATAGACTCTTTTTTCCCCTGTATCTGGCTTCTTTTTCCTTGGTGAGCAGCCTCTGGCCAGGGCTGCTCTCTGAAGGATATGCGCATTCCCAGTAATGAGTCACAGGATACAGGTGATAGAGAAACACTAAAAGCTTAATTAATGCAATTGTAGACACTATTTGAATAATTAACTTGCCTGATTATAAGACTGCTTGCTGTACTATCCCAAAGCATAGATTTTTCTTCACTGACTGGCTGCCATCGGTACCTCCCATAAGTTTTAATAAACCAATGTCTTTCCCTGCTGAACCTCTGGGTGACTTCTTTGGAATAGGGAAACATTACATGCAAGTCTTTCAGAGGGGTTACCGTGTTACAAGTCTATTTAATAAACAAATGCTATGTTTGAGAAAAACATAACAATGTTCTAAAATGAGAAACAAAATTCTCTAGTACAGAAATTTATTTTAATTATTCTAAAACTCTTCACTGCATATTTAAATTTTGCAGTCTATATTTATTGTATATTTTTAAGGCATAAATATGTAAGACTTTAAAAGAAGAATATAAATATAACAGGAACAATTAAAGAGATATTCCCTATATTTAATAAAAGACAACAGTGACACGGTTCTTTCTGACCCATTATAGAATCTTTCTATTTTGTTTTCCCATTCTATTTTGTTATCTATTTCTCTGAATAGCTTACAGTTTTTAAGCCACCTTGTTTTATGTAGTAGTACAACTGACTAAAGTGCAATGTAAAATTCATTTGACTTGCAGCTGTGCTTGTTATCAAGGCCACATGACATTGAATCCGGGTGTCAGTCCAATGTAGTACCAATCAAGCTAAATTTCCTTTTAATGAAACCATGTCAGCCTGGATATTTAGGATTTTATTTACTAAAAACAGTAGATATTTAGACTTGTATAGATTATTTTTCAGCTCTTTCAAAATGTTCACTCACTTTGTACCTACAGGTTTGTTCTGGTAGACAGTTGTTTGCCAAGCAGGTTCTTTATATCTATAACTTAATCATCTAAGCTGCCCGTGTCTAAAATGTCCATCATTTGAAGAATCTAAAAGTGACTAAAAGCTTTCAATATGAAAGCCTCTATATCACAAGTAAGCAAATCATATCCCCTATAGTGTAGTGTAGAAAATTTAGCAGGTGAGATTTTTTTCCTTTTCTTTGGTAAGATGTTTCTTGACTGAAGGAAGTTGCAAAAATTTACATTTCTACTGTCTGCTAAATGTACTTATAATGGAGAAAAGTATACTTTGCATTTGTTCAAGGGAACAAATATTTTGTTTTACGTTTTAATGAATGCTTTGTTAGTGAATGTTATGTTTTAATTAATGGAGTGTTTCATAGAAACTAAGAAAGTTATTCAAAATTTTCTTTTGAACCTAAATCATCTAAAAGCAAGGGGGAATATTTTGCTGCTATATGTATTGATAAGATCTAACAAAATCATTGCTACACTGTAAGGATGCAACACAGCTTTGTTTGTTTGCAAAACAAACTTCTACCTTTTTAATCCTACAAGACAGTCTAGTTACAATCTGTGAATCAGGAAATGTAACTTTAATCAGGTTCACAGAGCAATTAAGGGCTTGAATGAAAAAATAGTTCATGTTTGTTTTTGAATGTGTACCCAAATTAACTCAGCAGTAGCTATTTTGTCAGAACATTAGTGTCTTTTTTGAGAGGAAAAAACCAGTTTTTGATTTGGAAGACAAAAAAAATGTGATTGATTGAGAGATACGTGCCTGTATCATCCCAGACATCTGAGATACACTTTCCATATGTGCTTTCACATCCCTTCTCCACCATACCCATCCCAAATTATTTTTGACACATTGTGCAGTATGCCTTCCATCTGTCATTAAAATAATACAGTCTTTTAACTTTCTTGTTCAGTGATGTCCAGATCATGCTGGTATATTAGAACTGCTTTCATTTTCATTATTCAAGCTCTTAGAAAACAGTTACATATTCCCAATATGAAAAATTAAGCTAGCACTATCTTGATACAAAGCACAAGAGTTATTCCACAGTTTATGTCAAAGATGAACTGTTAACATTCATGATTTCAACACTCTTAAATTGCACATTTAAATCACAATACTCAGAGTGAACCACAGATCATGGTTGCCAATATCAACAGTGATAGAAACAAACAAACAAACAAGCAAACAAACAAACAGCAACTACAGAAGGTAGACAATTGATGTTCTATTTATTAGACACTTAAATAGTGTTGCTTTTAATCCCAGTTTTTTCCTATCTTTCATAATAGTTTTGTCCTCTCCTCCTACCTTCCCACACTAGTTGCCAAGAATGAAAAATTTTCCTATCTCAATGAGGTATTCACTAGTATGTAAGATGTCCTACTACAGCTAGGACAAATGCCAGGCAAACCTATATGATTGGAATCCTAGGCCTACCACTGTAGATCCAACTGGAAGTCAAAATGGCAGCATTTGAGCCTGGAGTCAGAGAAAACCTTCCAATTCAGCTATTTTTAAAAAACAAACTGACACAGGCTCTGCCTCCAGCCCCACCATTATGGGACTTACAAATCTACCCTGAAAGCTTTGGGCTAGTATGCCAGCAAGATGCATGCTGTATCCCTGTTTTGTCCCTTCTGAGGTCCTGTACCTAGTCAAGGAGTCCCTGAGCTTCACCCATAAACTCTGGGATTAAAACTGGAGACACTTTTTAGATCCTGAATGCATTTTAAGACATAAGGATTTTTGGGAGGTAAAGGTGATCTTAAAAAGTGCAGGTCTGTTTTATTATTCTTACTCTCTTTCTTCTGAATATCTCTGTGTTAACAGAATATGACTTGGAAAAAACTTCAGATTATGGATTTTATGATGACTTTATTTGTAGCCAAGTACATTGTTCTTTTGTGACTATTTCCTGGACATTTTCAAACAATATTTAATCACTTTTTACAGTGATGTATATACAAGTTCGAACAATTAAGTTCATGAACTCACTGCTGAATATCACTACGGTCACCTTCAAAGTCATCCCCTTGGGAGGTTATGCACCGATGTTAGTGCCTAGTCCATTCCTCAAAGCAATTTTGGAACTCTTTTTCTAGAACGACATCCAGAGCTGTTGTATTACCCTCAATGTCCTGAATGTCATCAAAATATCTTTCTTTCAGTATTTCCATTACCTTTGGGTAAAGAAAAAAGTCATTGGGGGCCAGATCATGTGAGTGGTGAGGGTGTTCCAATACGGTTATTCATTTGTTGGCTAAAAATTCCCTCACAGACAGTGCTGTGTGAGCTGGTGCATTGTCATGATGCAAGAGCTCCTTCAGGACCATCTTTTCACACACCTTTCTCATGCCAAGATTTTCAGTTAAGATTTTCCTGTTTCTCTATCAACATTTATTTGGTCTGCTATGCTTCTCACAGTCAGCTGATGATTTTGACACATGATTTGATGAATTTTTGCAATGTTTTCCATCAGTTCTGCTTGTTACTGGTTGTTCTGACCGCTCTTCATCAGTAAGTGTTTCTGTTCCCTCACAAAAACATTTAATGCATTTGTATGCTGCCATTTCTTTCATGGCATTATCCCTGTAAACTTGGACTAACATGTCCTGATTTCACTTCCATTCTTGCCAAATTTAACAAGGCATTTAATACTTGTTTGTTGCTCTAATTCAAACTCTGACATTCTCACAACAATAGTTCTGGTTGCCATTCCAGAAAAAGAGTTCTAAAATTGCTTTGATGGGGAGACTGGGCACTGCAGTTGGTGCATAGCTTTCCAAAGGGAGTACTTCGAAGGTGACTGTAGTGCTATTCAGCAAAGGGGTATGTAGCACTTCTTCTAGGATGAGTTTGCGAACCTGATTGTCAGACTTCGTGTTGGAGGTTGTGTCAGAATTTTATTTCTTTTAAAGGCTGAGTAACAGTTCATGATGTGTATGTATATACTATAATTTTTTTAACCATTCATCTGTCAATGTGCACTTGGATTTTTTCAACCTTTTGGCTATTGTGACTAATGCTTCTATGACCCTGAGTTTATAAATATCCCTTCAAGATCTGTTTTCAATTTTTGGGGCATACATCCAGAAGTGAAATTGCTATATCATATTGTAATTACATATCTAAATTTTTTGAGGCTCTACCATACTATTTTCCAACAGCTACTTCATTTTATATTCCCACTAGCAGTGCACAAGTGTTTCAGTTTCTCCAGTCTTATCAAGATTTTATTTTCTGGTTTTGTTTTTTTCTGATTACAGCCATCCTTATGGATGTGAAATGATATCTCTCTGTGGCTTTGCTTTTTCTACAGGTTAACAGGATCCATAGATAAGAAATTCCCTTTATCATTTTTAAAAAATGCTATGGTTTTGTTGAAAATTGTTATTGAGGAAAGATTTTTCTGTCAATATATTTTTAACATGTTACTTTTTTTATATGGGAAATCTACTGATTTTTGTGTGTAAGTTTTGTTAATGGACTCTCACTATTTTCAGAAATCTTTTAGTTAATTTTCAGGGGCATTAACATATTTTAAATGATGTATGCTGCAATTAATAAAAATTCTGCCATGTTCTTTTAATAATAATTTCTATTTCTTTCTCATTCTTCAGTTAATTTTCCCTCTCTCTCATCTCATAGTTGTATTGGAGAATTTAATTAGATTAAGAGATAATCATGAAAGTGATACTCATTAATTAATATATTTTTTATTTTAAAGAAGTGAGGTACAATTCAGGATTAGGTATGCAAATGGTCATTGTACAGGTAAAGTTTGGGCCTCCCTTTGGTTCTCACTTTGCCTGGTTTGAGATCAGGTACTTTTATTGATGTTATGTGCCCTCCCACTCCCCTGGCAGTTTCTGGCTACTGCCAATCCCTTTCTTATAGTATTATGGTAAATGTTCAGTGTCTGCTTATGAGTGAGAACATGCAGGACTCAGTTCTTTGTTTCTGTGATAAATCACTGAGTATTATAGACTCTAAATACATCCAAGTTGCTGAGAAGTCCATAATTTTGTTCTTCTTTATGGCTGCATAATATTTCATCATGTATATATGCCACATTTTTTTTTTATCCAGTTCAGTTTCAATGGGTAGCACAGTTGGTTCCATGTTTTTGCTATTGTGAATAGTGCTGTAATAAACATTGTGTGCACAAGTTGGTATCTGTAGATTGTAGAGTGATTTAAGTTCCTCTGGGTATATTCCCAGAAGGGGGATTACTGGGTCATATGGAAGTTCAATTTCTAGTTCTTTTAGGAATCGTTTATTTATTTATTTGCTATTTATTTTTGAGTCAAGGTCTCACGCTGTCACCCAGGCTGTAGTGCAGTGGCACAATCACAGCTCACCATAGCCTTTACCTTCTGGGCTCAAGCAATCCTCCCACTTCAGTCTCCCAGGAGTTGGGGCTGTGATTATATACCACCATGCCGAATTAATTTTTAGATTTTTTTGTAGAGATGAAGTCTCACTGTGTTACCCAGGCTGGTGTTGAACTCCTGTGCTGAAGCATTCCTCCCACCTTGGCCTCCCAAGTGCTGGGATTACAGGTGTGAGCCACCATGCCCAGCCTTATTACTTTAATACCAAGAAAACTTTTAAGCTTTTATCATAACAACGTTGCTGCTTTTGATTCAATATATTTATCTTATTGAAAAAATATTTATTCCAATTTTTTAAAAATCTGGAAGTTTTTAAGATTTTATTAAATATGTAGAAGGCATTTAATGAAATGATCACATTGTTTCTTATATTGCTTTTGAAGATATTCTAATACTAAACTACCTTATCCTCTAGCCTGAAGGTCCTGAAGCTTTTGAAACTATTAGGCAAGGAATGTTGCTGAGAAGGGAATATTTAACAGGCATTCCTGTTAAATATTTTTCCCTTCAAGGAATGTCCTGGGGAATAAATGACCTCATCTTTTTTTTTTTTTAAGCACACTGTATTAGTCTGCTTCAGCTGCCATAACAAAATGCCACAGACTGAGTGGTATTTATATTTATATTGTCGTAAACAATATAAATTAATTTTCTCACAATTCAAGTGATTAGAAGTCCATTATCAAGGTTGTAGCAAATTGGGCTTCTGATGAGGACTCTTCTTTGTAGAGGGTCACATTCTCACCAAGTCTCTTTTCGTGGCATTTTCTTTGTGGGGGGTGAGAAGAGTAGTGGGGGAGAGAGAGAGAGAACAAGAAAGAACACCCCAAGCCCAACATAGGCACTGGTCTCTTCTTCTTTTATAAGGACACCAATTGCACCAAGTTAGGGCCTCACCCTTACGACCTCATTTAATCCTAATTATGTCTCAAAGGCCCCTTCTCCAATACCATCACATTGGGGATTGATGCTTCAACATATGAATCTAGGGGGACACAATTCAGTCTATAAAATTCCACCCTATACTCCTCAAACTTATGATCTTCTCACATGCAAAATGCATTCATCTCATCCCAATAATCACGAAAGTCTTAATCCATTTCAGCTTCAATTTCAAGTACACAGTTTCATTTGAGTACCGTCTAAATCAAGTATGGATAGCATTTGAAGAGCTATGATTTATCTTGTATTGGTATTTCTCCTCAGATGTGAAACTGCAAAATCAGACAGTTTTGTGCTTTCAATATACAATGGTGACATAAGCATAGGATAGACATTTCCATTTCAAAAGGGAGACATTGGAAAGAAGGAAGGGTTGGTAGCTCCCAAACAAGTCCAGAATCTATCATTGTGAGTCCTATTGGATCTTAATGCTTGAGAAGAATCCATTTGGCTTGACGTTTTTCCCTCTAGGTCCACCAGGGGTGATAACATTACCTCCATAATCCTAAGTGGAAACCCCTAACCCCTTTGATCTGGGTGGCTCTCCTGCTCATACCATTTTTATAGCGGCCTCACACATTAAGCTGGGGCAACTTGGTCCACTGAAATTGAAAATGGGGTCCCTACCCTCTGTAACCAAGGAGAAGGAAGTCTTGTCCCCTTAAAAATAACTAACACAGTTATTTTAGTACCAAGAAGTGAAGTGCTACTCTAACAAATAACTAAAAATGTAACGGCAATGATGTGGCATGGCAGCCCTGATGATCTTTGAATCACCTTCAGAATAATTCTTCTCTTTTCTTGAAATACAAAGCATGCTCATAGCCAAACAACTCTGTTGTCCCATCCTCTCCCCCTTTTTTTAAACCAGCAGTGTCTTTGCCAGTAGAACTCTATCTATGCTAGTACAATCTTATATTCCTGGTTTCTGCTGATTCACATCCATAGTCTTTATCAAATGATTTCCTAGCCACACCCTTGGTATTCTTTCCAGTACATTTTCTCATTTTTGGAAATACAGATAAGCTGGAAATTTCTGCTTAACAATTACTTATTTAGTGCATTTCTCTTTTCTTCCATTTTATTATAAGCAGTAAAGAGGACCCAGTCTACTCATCTTAAACATTTTGCTTAGAAATATCCTCAGGTAATTATCCGACTTTTAGGCTAGTGAATTCAATCTTCCAGAAAACTTTAGAATATAATTTAGCCAAATCATTACCACTTTATAACAGGAATCACTTTTCTCCATTGTTCAATAACATGTTCCTTACCTCTAAGATCTTACCAGAAGCAACTTTAATATTTATATTTCTAACAACATTCTGTTCATGATTATTTTCTAAGAAGATTCTTTTAGATGTTCTCTTTTCTCTCTGAGCCTTGAGGAATCACCTTTAGTTTTTATATTTCTATACACAGTTCTTCATTAAAATATAGGCTTTTTTTAAAGCATGCACCTTAAGATCATTTTGGCCTTTACTTATTACCCAGTTCAAAGCTGTATTTACATTTTTAGTTATTTGTTAGAGCAGCACCTCACTTCTTGGTACTAAAATAACTGTATTAGTCAGGGTTCTTTAGAGAAATATAACTAATAGAATCTATCTATCTATCTATCTAACCTATCATTTATCTATCTATCTATCCATCTATCTATCTTTGATATCATCATGTGGTGGAAGATTGAGAACTCAAAAAACATAAAACACCAGTAACAGCTCATTTTGTATTTTAGTGGTTTGTTTTTATTATTTTCATTATATACACATATATGCACATATATGAATAAAATGTTTAATGTTTGGGAATAATACTGGTAATGATATTCTCTCCACCTTTTCATTTGGTTAATAAACTCTGGTGTAATTCAGAATTATATTTTTTTATTCTAGGGAAGAAAAGTTATTTGGAGAGAAGATTTTCCATTCCTCAAAAACATCAGTTTCAACTCACTTTCTACATTTCTGTACCTGTGCTTATTATTACTATTGCTGTTTTAATGACACAGAAAAAAATAAGAGAGATATGCTACAGAAACAAAACTGAAAGCGAGAGGTATACATAGAAATATATACATACATGGATACATATTTATTCTTATTACATAAGTTAGACAAAAAACGTATTCATGTTTCATCAAGAATAACCTAATACTATAGAGGCTCTGGGACACATTTTTAACTTTAATTTTCCTAAATATGGGTATTGTTAATTTGTAAAATTATTTCTTGGCTAGAGTTACATGTGTAATTAGTAATGTCAGATTAAAGAGACAAGAGGCAATATCATATAGTAGGAATAGAATTACCTTTAGCTTCAGAAAATATGATTTCATATAAATATTTTGTGTAAAACTATGGTATCTTAAGCAAATGATTTAATACATATGTACTTAAAAATATTCTCTATACCTCTATAGAATGGGAGATAATAGCCTTTTACTGTATCAGAATTTTGGGGTACATCAGTTTAATCAGTGAAATCACCATGCTATCTGTAATTAGTTACACTAATATTTAAACATCACATTGAGCCCCTTATTCATAATATTTCACTACTGAAGTATTTACATCTAGTTTCTATGCCTTTCAAGAACTGGTGGGGAAGACTCGGGACTCCCGGCAAGATGGCGACGGGGCAACCTGGTCTGTGAAACCCGCTGCAAAGGAGAACTGCAGTGGGTCTCTGGTTCTTGCCCCAGGGGCTGCGGACCCCAAAATCGCAGCCTGCTCTTCATATGGAGCTCAGCCGTTGCCACTGCTGGGGCATCGCAGTGGACTGGACAGCCACTGCAGCACAGATGCTGCCGCTGCAGCCGCTGCAGCCACCACTGGTAGCACATTGCACCACCTGGGCCAGAGGCGATCCACGACTTCAGTCCTTGAAGCCCCTTCAGGGAAGATCTGCTGGGATTGCTGCCACCTCTCCTGCAAGAGAGACGTCCTGCTCACCGTGAGTCTCCTGCCTGTGCCCTGAGGCAGGCATCCACACGGCTTCCTGTCTGGCCCCATCCCCTCTGGGGCGAGCAGCTGAGATAGCACCACCTGCTGGTGATTCAAGGGAGTAAACCTACAGCACCACTGCACGGACAGATTCCAAGGCAGTGGGAAGTGGGTTCCAGATTATCCACATACCTGTCAGTGAATACCAACCTGCAGATAGATTCTGAATCACAGTTCCCCACTTAAGTAAATCTCAAAACTGCAAAAAAGGACCACCCCCAACCTACAGTGCAACTCCAGAATTGAACAAAGTAAGAGGGCATACACAAAGAATAGGAGATTGAGCAAACAGAAGTAAGACCAATCCCTTTAACCCTGAATAACAGAATTAAAGAAGACGGTGATATGGAGGGAAGGAAAAAGTAGGGAGGGGGAAAAACTGCACAAATGAAGAAAAACCAAAAGAAGCATATAGGTCTCACACAGACCCCTGGGAGATCAGACACTGAGAAAACATATTCTGGAACACAAGCAATGAAGAACCCCCAGAATGACTGGTTACATGCAACAAACCCAGACATCAAGACATTAATGGAGAGAACTAAAAAAATTGAGGAGAGACAAGAGGAAAATAGGAAGGAGATGATGTCAGAAATAACAGCAGTGAAGAATACTGTGATGGAAATGAATAACAGACTAATAAGCATGGAAAGCAGAATTAGCCAAGCAGAAGAAAGAATCTCAGAGCTCGAAGACCAAAACACAGAACTAACCCAAACTGTCAAAAGCATAGAAAAGAAGCTCAGAGACAGAACAAAACCAGCAAAAGATGATTGATCACTTCAAGAGACCAAACCTAAGAGTAATTGGGCTTCCTGAGGCAGAGAGAGAAACAGAAGCCACACTGGAACAAACATTTCATGAAATCATTCAAGAAAACTTCCCTCATCTCATCAAGGATGAAAAAATTCAAACACAAGAGATTCAGAGAACCCCTGCAAGACAATAAATGAGAAGACCAACTCCCAGACACATAATAATTCACCTAAACAAAGTAGGTATAGAAGAAAAATTCCTAAAGGCAGCAAGGGAAAAAGACCAGACTACCTACCAGGGAAGACCAATTAGAATAGCAGCAGATTTATCCACAGAAACCCTTCAGGCTAGGAGAGCCTGGAGCCCTATCTTCAAAGTTCTAAAAGATAAACAATTTCAACCAAGAATAACCTACCCAGCCAAACTAAGCTTCATTAGTGAGGGAGAATTGAAATCTTTTCCAGACATCCAATCCCTAAGAACCTACGCTGCCACCAGACCACCTCTACAAGAAACACTTAAGAAAGTACTGAACACAGAAGAAAAAGAAAAAAGAACAACAACATTCTTCACAAGAGTACAGGCAAAAGATTAAAAACACACATGAGCCAACTCCAGAACCCAAAAAAAGACAACAAATACACAGGAACAACTCTGTAAGAACCTTATGACAGGGATCAACTCTTGCATTTCAATTATTAGCCTAAATGTGAATGGACTAAATGCACCACTGAAAAGACATAGAATGGCAAAATGGATAAAAAATCTTTAGGCAATAATCTATTGCCTTCAAGATACTCACCTCACTAGAAAGGACACCCACAGACTCAAAGTAAGAGGATGGGAAACAAACTT